AGAAAGAAAGAAAGAAAGAAAGAAAGAAAGAAAGAAAGAAAGAAAGAAAGAAAGAAAAAGGGAAAAAGACTATCGACTAATAACCATCCTGGTTTGTCTGGCACAATCCTGGCTTTTAGGCTCAAAGTCCAAACCTAGTGAAAGTCCCAGATCCAGGAAAACTGTTAGGGACAGTTGGTCAACCTAACAAGGAACCAAAACAAACACAAAAGCAATGAGATCATGTGACTTTCTAAATAAAATGCTTGAGCTTCCACAAAAGCAAATTACTAAATCTAAGATACAGGTACTTATAGTACTGAAAAATAAAAGCAAAGTGGTAAGAAACATTTGAAATCTGAGAAAATAGTCAGCTATGATTATATGCATCTATAATCCCAGCTCTGAGAAAGCTGAGGCAGAAGAACTATGAACATGAGGCCAATACAGCTAAATGGAAAACAGTCTCCAAAATGGGAAAACCTGAAGGACACCTACAGCTGAGACAGTGACACAACCAGGTACAAAGAGCAATCATCTGGCAGTCTCATGTCTTCAGCAAGATGAAACAGAAACATGTAGACCATTAGGAAGAAATATAGAATTGAGGAAGTGATACGGTCAAATCAAAGTAGAAAAAGCAACAGCAACAATAAAGAGAAATTACATGCAGTGATGCTGGACCCAGCTTTTTATGTGGATGCTGTCTATCTGCGCTCAGGTCTTCATCCTTATGCAACAAGCACATTCCTAGGGAGCCATCTCTGCAATCTAGGAGCAGGCTGTCTCTTCTCACTTGTTTCTGAAGCAAGGGTCTCTATTGTTTCTGCTCTTATGGTTAGCTTGCTTGTAATTCTCCTCTATCTTCCCATCTCACACCAGAAATGCTCAGATTACAGGTGAATGTCACTCCATCAGGGTTTCTGGATCACCTTCAGGTCACCAGACTTGTGTGGCAAATAAACTTTGAGCCCTCTCTGTGGCCCTTCCTGGTAGTTTCTCAAAATGTTTATAAATTTAAATTATTAAACTTCCAGGTTATTTTAACAGCTGCCTTGTAATGTAGGCAACTTTGTGTTTGTGTCCCCGCATGGCCTTCACTGGTGTAGAGCTTACTATGTAAGCGAGACTGACCTTAAACTCACAGGGCTCGTCCTGCTGCTGCCCCTCAAGTGTTTAAAGGCCTCCCCCACAACTTGACATCCAACCATCTTTTACGTCTTCTACCTCGTAAAAGACAAAAATAAACCCATCTTTCCAACTCAACAAAGATGTCACTATAAAAATCAAGAATCTAATTTCTAAATTTCTCACTGCTGGTCAATTCATTTTAATTTACTCCCTCTGTTCTAGATGCAAAACACCATGTAACAAACTGATGGAACGTCAGGAAAATTGCTTTCTCAGAATTCCACATCTGCCTGATTCTTGATAATTCCAATAGTGGCCAAAAGCTGTATCAATTCACCATGAGAACATGAATTTAAGTAAGACAGAAATATGCTGGCAATATCATGTTATCAACAATGTGCACATTGTTTTGAGACTAAACGAGAGCTATAGCCACATCAAATGAGAAATAACACCTTTAAATTTTTCTGTAAGTTTTAGTTTAATGACCAACTATTCTTTGTTTTAACTTGCCATTATCTACTACTCACTTTGAAATTATTCCTTTAAAAATCAGGTTAGAGTAAGAAAAACGTAGCTAGCAAAATAATCTGTAATAACTAATATTGTCAACTTGACAAGATCTAGAACCACTAAAAATACAAGCTCAGGGCAGTCTATCTAAGGTTAGTAAGGCCCACCCTAAATGGGAGTGGCGTCATTCCTTGGGCTGGAGTTCCGGCCTACATGAAAAGGAAACAGCTAGCTAAGCACCCGTATTTATTTATTATTTTGAAGACAATTTCATCAATTGTTTCATTCTCTTGCTGCCTTCACTCCCTGCCATGATGCCAGTGAAGCAAAATAAACTCTTCCTTAAGCTCATTTTGTGAGGCTATTTTATTACAGCAACAGTAAAAGTAACTCAAACATGCTTTATAAGATATTCAATAAAATGTATTTTTAAATCGCCTAAACCAGTACTGTAGGTCTGGTTTTACATTTATGACAAATTTGCAAGGTGTTCACGTAGTTAGCAACAAAAACATCGTAAAATGTCAAAAATGGACATCAAAAGTCACCGCATATCATCCTTTCCGGAGTACCTTTCCAACCTCTTCAGCGAGTTACTAATAAGTTCAACTTAGAAGCAGCAAAAATGAAGGAAACCTGTCACTGAAGTAGCAGCTTCACTGTTCTTCTGACATCCTAGTACCTTGAAAAGAACATCAGCCTAGGAGACTTAAGGAAGGAGTACAATAGAAAAGGTCTTCCTGTACAATTATCCAGAATAAATGTACTGTATCATTTCCAAAGTGTACTCTAACTTCTGCTCCCCAAAGAAATAGTAACTGATCAAATAAATCTGCAATACTTGGTATAGTAATCCCAGCAGATGAGAAGCAAGAGGTGGAAAGGAGAATCAGGTCATCCTTAGTACATAATGAGTTTCTCAGTAGCCTCAGCCAGATTAAGACCCATTTCTCAAAAGCAGAAAAAAAAAGTTAGTCAAACACAAGTTATTCAAAGACTTCTCAAAAGCTTCCTAGCTTTTAATGCATACTCTGAATCTCCTTGAATACTTGGATCACAAAGAATTTTCCACAAGGCATCCTACATTAAATCAATTAAATCAAAATGTCCCCTTAACATAAAGTTCTTGTCAATCAAATCTTAGAATAAGCTCTTTACCCAAAAAAGTACCATTTTATCATTCAATTAACATTTGTTCACATTAAAAGTTGAAAGAAAACATCTATAACAAAATAATCTACCCAATACGAAGCATTTCTCATCTTAGCTCACAAACCCGTAGTCTTGTACAATCCTGAGAACTGGCTCTATGAAGTTGTCCTCTGACCTTCACATAAGCGTGCCTTGGTATACTTACAGACATAAGCAAAGACAGAACAGACAAGATAGATTAGACAGACAGACATAGACACAGACACACACAAATACTTAAAAAAAATTTAAAAGGAAAAAGGCTAGTCAGGGGACTAGAGTAAGTACAGTGACAGAACACTTGCCGAGCACGTACAAGGTTCTGAGTTCAATACCATGCACCACAAAAATTTAAGATCCCATTAAAAAACTGATTAGGATTCTGAATATGACCTTCCACATTCTTTGCCTTAACTTTATAAAAATTAATTTAAAATCATATTAATTCATGTTTCACAAGAATTAATATTATTTTGTAAATAAGATTAGAGGAAAGTTTGGCCCTAACTCTATGTGGTAGTTTGAGAGAAAATGACCCCTATAGGCCCATAGGGAATGAAACTATTAGGAGGTGTGGCCTTGTTGGAGGAAGTGGTCACTGGGGTAAGGGGGAACTTGAGGTCTCAGATGCTTAAGCCATGCCCAGTATGACAGTCTTTTTTCCACAGCCTAAATATTAAAATGAACTCTTCAGCTCCTTCTCCAGCACCATGTCTGCCTGCATTCTGCCACGCTTCCTGCCATGATAATGGACCAAACCTCTGAAATTTTTTCTTTATATAAGTTGCCATGGTTATGGTGTCTCTTCAAAACAATAAAATCCTAAGACACTGTAATTGAATGTTTTGTTATTAATAAAACTGGCAAGAGTAACAGAAACTAACATCTGAGTATTCCTAATGTAGAAACAGATTTGCACTATGGACAAACCACTGTGCTTTGTTTGCCAAAGTTACTTGCTTTCAGTTGTGCTTCTGTGATGACCTCATAATAGGGATTATGTTTAGTAAGTCTCTGAACTTACTCTTTAAATAAGTATTATGGCCATTTCACAATATATTTTACAAGCTTTCATGCAATCAATCACCACCTGCTAAAATGACAGTATTCAAATCTAAAACAGTAGATTTGTATTTTGAGTTTTCTCCCCCAAAACATTAATATCTCAAAACCTGTAACAGGATTCTTTTCTTTCCATCTGTTCATTGCTATGCATTTTCACTTTAAGACCAATTTCAGAATGAGTTTGACTATCAGCACTATGACTTCTTTGTTTTATGACCTTGGACAGAAACTAGATCAATGACTCCATGACCTATGATCTGAGAATAATACTTGTCATAGAAAGCTGAAAGACAAAAGAAGTGATCCATAATTGTCAAGCACAAACACAGAAAATATTGGCTAGTATTTTATTCTGAAACTGTTTTTTCACTTGCTTTATAAAAATAAAAAATAAAAAAAAAAAAAAAAAAAAAAGGCAGCAGGATGTTGTAGCACATATCTTTAATCCTAGCACTCAGAAGGCAGAGGCAAGGCGGATCTCTGAGTTCGAGATCAGCCTGGTCTAAATAGTGAGTTCCAGGACACTTAAGAGCTATGTAGAGACCATGTCTCAAAACAAAAACAAAAAAAAAAAAAAAAAAAAAAACAAATATATGACCAACAATATAGTATGAAACCTGTAATTTGTAAGGTGGTTATCACTAACTCACCAGCAAAAATATATCAAGTAAAAAATTAATTCTCAAGGGTCATAATAGCAACAAATCACCCTATTTTTTAACACTAAAGCATAAAAACTAACAAAGTAGAGGGAAATGAGGGAAAACAATGAAGAAATCAAGAGTTTCAAAGTCCCAACAAACTATATTCAAATCCTAATTATCCCACCTATAGAGTGTATCTATCTTCCACTTTAAAAGTATGAAGTATACAAAGTGTAAATCTCTACCTCCAAGTCTAAATAAAAAAGGAAAACACAGAGCACTACGTGTTTCTTCTGTTTCTTTGCTTGGATGTATTGCTCTTAATCTTCTACAAGCTTCAAGAGGACAATATTTTTTTTCATTAAATTAAGTAATCAGCAGTTTGTGGAATGTATGAAGCAACTATCTTCTAAAAAGCACCTTAAAACTCTTAAAATATTGCAGTTTTAAAAATCTAGTACAAAATACCAACTTGGACCCCCCACCCCCCACCCCGCCATGCTGACATTAGGAAACAACTGAATAGCTGATGCTGTAAAGACAAATATACAGACACTAAAATAAGATCACTTAGCAGTATAAGACATTCTTTATCTGTCTCTACAATTTTAACTTGCATTTCAACTAACATGCACTGTTATGTGGAGATAAAATAAAATTTGACAGCATAATCATTCCTGACCAACCAAGAAATGTTCTTTGAGTAAACAAAGTTCTTCCCATAAACTTACTTGCTAATTTGGCCTGTAATCCAGAAGGTCCAGGTTTTGATGTCTCTGACTTAGAAGACCCTGGAAGAGACAGTTTTGTTTTAGGTAGGCTAACTTTAGGGCTGAAGCGAGCAGCCCAATCAAATTTTGAAGAGCCACCAGTTTTACTCTGTTCCTTTTCCCTGCTACTTCTTCTGGGGCTAGGGCTGGATGCTGAACGGGAACGCCTGGCCTTGTTCTGGTCTTTTCCTTGTTTCACCCTGGCACCTGGTGGTACAGTAGAAGAGGCCGAGGCTACAGCCGAAGATGAAGAGGAAGTAGAGGCAGCAGAAGAAGAATCAGTGATGGTGCTACACCCAGCTTTGGCTGAGGTGGCCGATTTTGAAGCCAGCTTGGTGGGTTTTGCAGATCTCTCTTCGGCACCAGTTGATTCAGACCCAGAACCACTCTTTACACAAGAACTCTCTGTCCTCTTTCTTTTCTGACTCCGTGAACTACCAGCAGCCACACTCTTTCTGGTGTGAGCCTTGCTTGTTGACGGCAATTGTGCAGATTTCAGTTGTTGCTCCTGGTCTAAATGTCTCTTCTTTGACTTACTATGTGGCTTATTGGTTTCTGAGAGAGACTCAATATGCTGAAATGCTCTGGGCTTTTTTGCAGAGCTAGGAGAATTGGTCCTGTTGTAGTCCGGACTAGCACTGCGTTTCACTCCTCGAGAATTGTCTTTCTTAGGCACCTGTCCCGTTGTCTGCCTTTCTGAAGTATTGGCTCTGTCTGAATCCTCTGGTTGTGGAACTATGACAGCAGATGATGAACTGCAGCTTCTAAGAGGTTAGATAAGAAAAAAGTTAGCCATAGCCTGCCCTGAGTAAAACTGCCATCTAACATTTAAGTTCCCAAATCCCCTAAATCTCTGGACCTTTGGGGAGAAAAAGGTGGGACAATGCCTGAGAAGTTCACTGTTAACATTTTCAAATAGTTCAAAATGGAAGAAAAAGGCTGTGATTTTTAAATATACTTTGTTAGAAAATAAGCATGCTTCTTATAGGAGTGGAGAGGGAAGAGATATTATCTCTCAAAGCCCAGAATGATCTATAACTAAAAATGGTTTCAGCTAAGACTGCCTTTGAACACTGGTCCCTCTGCTTCCACATCCCATATGCTGTAATTTTAGTCTTACGGCATCATTCCCAGCTCAAAATAATAATACCACTCCTAATCAAAAGATTCTATTGTTTTAAGAAAGAAATGCTTAGTGGTTGGGAACTTCTATACTGAACTTGTATACTATATTCTATACTGAAGCTCTATTCTAAAAGACGAAATGTTTTCACAATGTGGAGAGATAAATATTACATTTTCTGAAAGGTTAGACATCATCTTACTGTAAAACAGAGTTCGTCACAGTAGCACCTCTTCTTAAAGCTTCCTACTAATCAGAGATCTACAGAGATTGCTCACTGGTTAAGAGTACTTGCTGCTTTTACTGAGAGCCAGGGTTCAATTCTCAGCAACCATATGGAGGCTCACAACCACCAGTAACTCCAGCTCTAGAGGATCCAAAGCTGCCTTCTCACCTCCTCTAGCACCCAAATATATGCACACACACACACACTTTAAAAAAAAAAAAAAAAAGAACACTGACTTTAACAGGTTCTGGCAATCAGCATTAAGAAAATGGTAACTAATACCTTGAAATGCTGACATAGGAGGAAGCAATTAAGAGCAGCTGCTACTCTTCCTTAGGACTTGAGTTCAGTTCCCAACACCTACACCAGGTGGGTTACAACTACCTCTAACTACAGCTCCAGGGAATTCAATGTCCTCTGGTGGCCTCTGTGGGTAGTGGGTCCATGTGCAATTATCTCCACAGATGCACACATATACACAGGGCTTTGTAAATGCCTATCGTGAACTGCTAAGCAAAGAAGGAACCCTTGACTCCTAAACAAGTAAAAATTTCATTGCCTACGTAAATATACAAAGGAAAAAAAACTTGTAGTAACATTTGAGATAACCGCATAAGCTTTAATATTATGCAACAATTCAAATGCAATTTAAGTCTTCCTTGAAATTGTACAAGCAATGTGAAAATTTACCTTTTAGAAAGGTGTCCCCTTGACAGTTCAGAAGTAGTATTAGACTGCACTTTGGGTGCCTTAAAATTAGATTTTCTACTCTCAGGAGGGATATATCCCTTATGTTTTGCCTGCCCTAAATGTGACCTGTCAGCAGAAAATCAAAACAGAAATCTATCAGGACACTGAGATGCAAATACAGTATCAAAAGTGAAATATTTTTACACTTAAAAAGTCTCCCAAATCACAGTTGGCCTATATTTCTTCCAAATATTCATAAATGATGATCCTATCAAATAATCTGAGAAAAGTTAATTTTGTTTTAGAACCAACCACCTCAATACCCAAAGGTTGACAAAATGCATATTGTGCTTACTTAAGCAAGTTTTTCAAATTTCATTATGGAAACTCAAATACTTTAACACACACAAAGCAAATGTACTACTTTTAATATCACAGTGTGTGGTAATGCACAGTAGGTTAACTAAATGACAATTTATTATATATTCCAGAAACTGAGAACTCTGAATGTTTTAAAAGGGAAGAAATGGTAAACAACATAGGCATATTTAACTTGACAGATATTAACATTATTACATAATATATAGATATCAAAGCACATTATTACATAGTACCCCATAAATGTGCAGTTCTTAAATTTAAAAAATAGGCAATGTTACTAGGGTTTGTAAAAGTTAATTATAGCTGGATATGCAGACCAGTGAGTGGTAAAGCATGTGCCTAGCTATCATGCACAAAATCTCAGTTTAAATCTCCAGCACAGAGCATATGGGGGGGGGGGGGGGGAAGGAATCGGGAAAACCAAAACTGAGTGGTAAAATGTGTGCCTAGCTATTATTATACGTAAGACACTGGTTGCAATCTCCAGCACAGAGGGTAGGGAAAGAAACTGTTTTTGAAAAGAGAGAGAGAAAGAGAAAGAGAGAGGAGAGGAGAGGAGGAGACGGAGGGAGGGAGGGATGGAGAGAGAGAGAAAGAAAGAAAGAAATAGAGAGGAGAAAGAGAGAAAGAGAGGAAGGAAGGAAGGAAGGAAGGAAGGAAGGAAGGAAGGAAGGAAGGATAGATCTTTGTGGGAAAAACAACTGTGATTCACAAAATGATGGTTTCTACTGTGTACATTAAAATTCAGGTAAGAACATAAATATAGAATCAGATGAACCTATTTTCAACCTGGTTTTGCAGAGAAAAATCAATGCAGTCATCAAACAGCAAATAAAATGAAATCAAGACAGTATTAATCAACAAGTGTACGTGTGCACATATACACATCTATTATCCTGGAGATAAAGTTAACAATTAGCACAAAACATTAGTGTAAATCCAAAAGATTCCAGTGATATACCTACACTCTGTTTATTTACAACAAATTTTATTATCAATGAAGCATTATCCTAAAAGCAAGTTTGAATGTGTATCGTCAGTCAGGGTCTGTATGGTATTTACATATTCAATAAAAAGGCACATAAACATTTATCAAAAACTGGTATTAGGCCAGGGAGGTGTCGCACGCCTGTAATCCCAGCGCTCTGGGAGGCAGGGGCATGTGGATCTCTGTGAGTTCGAGGCCAGCCTGGTCTTCAAAGCTAACTAGTCCAGGTCAGTCAAGACTTCACAAAAAAAACCCTGTCTTGGAAAAACAACAAAAACAGTATTAATAAAAACAATTGGCACCTATGTTCTTTTAAAAAGTATACGCTAATAGGAAATGAGAGCACAGTGTAATTAATAGTCAAGACAACAGAGCTTGGTGTAAAACTTGGGGTGATTTTGCAGTAGACCCTGAGTGAGTTCCAGAACAACCAGGGCTACAAAGGGAAACCCTGTCTTGAAAACCCAATAATAATAATGAAGATAATAATGAAGGAGGAGGAGAAGGAAAAGGTGGAGGAAGAGAAGACTATAGTCAACTCTAGATTATGTACTTTCAAATTATCTTCAAAGCAAGTCTCAAACAACTGTTGCCTTTTAGAATAAGAGTTTTTACTGTCACTTCCTAGATACTTTACATCACAAATAATGTTATTTAGTCAGAACTTTGGTAGGTAAAGGATTAACTACGATCTGTAGGGCCTGGTAATTAAATCACTGGTGAATCATATAGCTTAGTACACATAAAGGCCTGGGTTCAACCCCCAGCACCATACATACATACCAATACATAACCCAAAGAAGATTACAAAAATATCTAAACTTCATGTCAACAAGCACACTGCACTTAAGTGACTAGTTAAGATTTGCATAGTTCCTTATGTTATAAATTTTTTAAAGTTTTAATTCATACAGATATGGTGACATATCCCAGCCCTTAGGTCATAATTTGAGGCTACCCTGACCCACACATAAGAGAAAAAACACTCTCTTGTGTGCTTTCTCTCTTGGGCTTCCCCCCTCCTCCCTCTCCCTCTCTCCCTCTCCCTCCCTCCCTCCCTCC